CTGCCCTGCCCTGGCCTCTGCTACGGCCTGGCCGTGGGAGGTTCCCCTTTCCCCTCATAACTCTTTTTCCCCAAAGGTGGGAGTGGATTGTGTTTCAGGCACGACTCTTTAGGTTTTAAAATCACGTGTGCCAGAGGAGTCAGGGGTCCTGGTCACAGATCTTTTCAACTTGCCTTTGCTTCTTCCTTTGGCAGGTGGTGTTGAAAAGGGTCGGTTACAGCCCGCTCAGCCCAGCCTAAGGTATTTCTACTTGTGCTTTCAGACTTAAGTTTCACTGGAGGGAAAGTTAATGCATTCGGTATTTGTGCTGTTTACAGTTAATGCCTTGTGATACTTCCTACTGGAAGGGCCTGTTCTATTTGAGGAATTGTTCCAACTGTAATTGAAATGGTGCTCAAATCTGAAAAAGCTAATAGTTGAAGGATATTTCTCATTCCTCTAGCAGCAGGAGAATATGAAAGTCAAAAACTTACTGCTGCTGCCTGTTACAGCATTAGTTCCAACTGTCAGACATCTTCCAGCTCTGCAAGTGTCCCATGAAGAAATTCATATAGTTAGATGTTAATTTTTTTTTTTTCTCTAAGAAGCCTTGCAATTGCAAAGACAAGTGCTTGTCAGCTGGAAAGCAACAGCTGTACGAGAAGCCTTGCAGTGGAGGTGATGCTGTCCTGTCTAAGTTTGTGGCATTTCTATAGGCTCAATTTTGAAGGCTGTGAGCAAGGCAGCTTAATAAAACCCTCTTTTCTGGGACAGTTTTGCACAAATTGTGGCAACATACACAGGAGCTACATGCAAGGGATGTCCTAACGTAATGTATTTGCTTTTGTAGGCTATTTCAGTTAGAAAAATCATCCAACTGCTGACGATGGTGGAGATGGCTAAATAATGTTTAACTCTTTCTTGGGAACAGAACTGTTATTACTGAGCTATTTTCCGTCTTTCTTAACAGTCTTCCTTATCAAGTATGAACTGATTACTAGAGAGTAGGAGATTTCACAGTCCCATATCGGCTGTTGGGGAAGAGCACCAGATGTTGCTGGCCTTGAAAGAGATAATCATTATTCTCATTTTAAACAGGCATGAGGTGAATGGTCATGATGAAGATGGAAATGAGCTACAGACAACACCAGAGTTCAGAGCACATGTTGCAAAGAAACTGGGAGCAATGCTAGACAGGTATTGGCATGCAATACTAAAAAATTTGTTCTATGGGTCAACTACGCTGATGCTTTTATGTGCTAAACCCAGGAAAGTCAAGGTCTCAGTGCAGCCTGGATGTGGAGGAGAAGTTGTTTCTATTCTTGTCTTCTTCATTCCCATATTTAATGCAAACTTCTGATAATCTGTGAGCTAACCAGGCCCAGGCGCTGTGCCCCTCTGGTAAAGACTCCCTGTAAAGCACTGCCTGGCTCCATTTGCCTCTGTGGTGGAATGTGTTGTGGAGATGAAAAAAGTAGTATTTGGGTGACTTAGCACTTCCGTCATTTAAACCAATACCCAGTTCAGGGTTGTGCTGGCAGTGTGCCTCTGACTGGGTTGCCACTGGCTGTCTTTATTGTGTAAATATGGCTCTGAAGAATTAGAATTCCTGGTGTGTAGAGTTGGCTGTAGAAATCCTGCTTTTAAGTCATTCTTCTGGCATGTGTTGCTAAGGAGAGAAGGCATGGCCTGCCCTGAAAGCAGGGAGGTGAGACAGCTTCACTAAGAAAAAAGTAAGAAGCTGTGTAATGTCTCCCTATAGTCTTGTTTCCTAAAAATACCCAGCGTTAGCACAGTTTGCACAAACCTATCTAAGATCTGACTGGGGTTTTCTGTTTAGCTTCATCACTGTCCTGAAGGACTCGCCAGGACCTTCACGAACTTCCCTGCAACCGTCTGACTCTGCAGATGATGGTGAGTTCTGGTCACAGCCATTGTGGCAGTTAAACTATGGCGAGTGGGATGGATCCATCCGTTGGCAGTTGTACACCCAACCGACTTGTGAGCCTTGGCAACAGAAGAATTCCTGTCAGCGTCTGTGAAGGCTGTTCCTTTGAAGCTGTCATCTCTGCACCTTAAGTCCTCCAGATAGTCCCAAATAATTCATGTTAAGCACTAGAGCAACACAGTAACAGCAGTGAGGCCTCCCAAGGAGATTGCTGTTGGTTGCTTTCACCTCTGTTTTACATAGTGGCTAAAATTCCCCTTTAACTGTTTTAGGTTTTCGCCTCTTCTCTTCCTCTGTCCCAGGAGACTGTGGGAAATCAGCGCCTTGCCCTGCAGCAAGGAGGAGACGGCCATCTAGCTCCAGGTGAGGGGTTCTCAGCTGCTTTGCTCCTGAGGTACTGTTGCATCCCACATTTCAGAGGCAGCTGGACTCTCACAAGGAAATGGGAAGCCACAGAGCTTGAAGTGTGTATTTATGACTCCTCCTATATTTGACTAGAGCAGATTTTCCTGTTTGTGTCTTTTTTTTTTAGTGCTGGGGAGCTAGAAATGTTCTTTCTTCTCCTAGTCTGTGTAAAGAACACACCTTGGTCTTCAAACTGGTTAAATGCAAACTCTAGGAATTGGAGTCCCAGGGCCACTAGGTGTTTGTCAGGTGTTCTCAGATTACTCTGCTGCCTGTGTTCTAAGTGAATTCAAGACAAGTGTAACACAACTTCCTTTCCTTTTGTTACCTTTCCAGTGACACGGACAGTGACCAAGAGTGGCAAAGGTACCAGGAGGCTGCTGTGTCAGCCGCAGACATTCTGAAGCAATGTGCTTTTCCTGCACTGTCTCAGGACTCCAGCCAGAATCAGAGTCAGGGTTATGTAGAGCACAGCCAGAAAAAAAAGAAGAAAAAGAAAATCAGGAGAGAGAACAATATTCAAGAGAAAATAATAGACCCAGCAGAGTGCGACCAGATCTGCAAAGATTTGCCACGGCTGGTGTCTGCAAATGGACAACACGAGAGATGGGACAGCAGTCATGCAGAGAACTCCCTGTTGCCAGGAGTTACAAAGAGGAAAAAGAAGAAGAAAAAAATGGAATGAAGATTTTGCTTTGCAAACAGCAGGTGATTATGATGAATTAAGGATACTGGGAAAAGGAACTAACAACAAGAGTTGCTGCAGATGAGGGAAAATGAATTGGCAAAGCTTCTGTTCTGAAAGCTCAGTGGCCTGAAAGTCTAATTAAGTGGCTTCCTATGTTATTGGCATCCCTTGGGGAAGGGAACATTGTTCTCCTAGCACATCAGTTATCTGTGCTGCTGCTTACAGAGTCCAGGCGTAAAAGGATTCAATACTGCGCACAGACTTGCGTGACAGAGGAATATACTGATAGCTGCATCCCTCCTGGTCTGTTCCTTCACATTACAAATCCAAATCTTGTGTCTTGGAGAAAATACATGATGACTCGAATTTGGTTTACATGGCAACAGGTGATCAACTCCTTTTTGTCTTTGCCTCCTCCTAGATGTATACTAAGAATAGCTCTAGCCTGTGGGAGACTCGTTTATCAAAAGCATCCCATCAGATGTCGGGCTTTTTTTTTTCCTGTGATCATCACAACAATCTGTTGTTGAAGCCTGCCCTGTTACTAACACCTCTGTAGCCTCCACCTCTCCAAGCGCCCTGCGTATAAACAGAGTGTGAGTGAGCTTATTTCAGGGTTGTTATAAAATGGGTAGTTCTATTCAAGTTGTCTGTTGAAATTTCTCTTCATGTATAGTTTTTTCATGGCATGTGTTATTATTAAACTCTGCTACACTGTTAGACTTACTTAATTTAGCAGGTTTTCTACGACACCTTTCTTGCTGTATTCATGTGGCTTCCCCAGCAGAGAGAAAGATGGATGAAGATGGTTCTTTAATGATCAGTGCTGTGGAATTAATATGGGAAGGACATAAGCCTAACTTAAAAATCAGTGTGTTTCAGTCCTTATTTTGGTTAACTATGACTTTTGTCTCTCTAATGGCTCTTAGTCCATTTATACTTCAGTTACCAGTATTTTGGGAAATTACCTGTTACTGGATCAATACTCGTCTTCTGTTTTTAAGATTGTTGGGTTTCAGTAGCTCTAACTTACTGCCCGATTCAGGAGACCAGAGAGCCAGATTAGAGAAACCAAAATAGTGAACTGTTGCTCTCTGAGTGTGAGAAAACCCAAGATGTTTTCTTTCCTACTGTGAGATACTTGCAGTTTTTTATTAAAGAAAAACAGCTGGCATCCAGAAATGGAAAAGCTAAGTAGAAAATTGGCTTGAAATCTGACTGAATGTGCCAGCAGAAGTCTTATGGACAGTTCAACTCCAGTAAAGTGAAGCTAGCACCTGGGGTTTCAAATGCACAGTGGCCTAAACGTTACCTTTTGACTTGTTTTATGATGATTATTTTATGCTGGTACATGTTAGTTATAGTACTGGAAGTTACATGTATTTGTAACTAATGCATGTGGGAGATTAGGAAACAATTCTAGGACAAGATCCCTCAAAGAATCTAGTTGCCAAAATTAGCCTCTGGTGGTTGATGGTATCTAGAAGAAGCTCTTATCAGTAAAACCTGTAATGGACATCTGCAATTTTGAAATTTCCAGATATGATAACTCAATAATTCACTGTTGGGCTTTTTTTTTTTTTTTTAATTTTCCTTTATATCTTAACCTTTTAAGAGACTTGAGCACATTCTGGTCTCAAGGATTTTCACCTATTTCATAGTTGAAAGAATAGCTCTGTTTTGGTCACAAAGACAAAAACATGTTAATTGGGGCTTTCTTCATATCTGGTTAGTGAGAGTAAATGGAAAAGAGAGGAATAACTAGAAGAGGAGCTATATAAGTAGATCCTTAGATCTAAAAGCCTTTGCTTAGTGCAAGTGAAGTCTTAGACCCCAAGGTAATTACTTGCATATCAAGAACAGAATCTGTCCTACAGGGAAGCTAAGAATGAACTGTGTTCTGTCGAATGAATCCAAGCTGATATCTTTACAGAGAGGAACTGAAATAACTGCTGCTCTTTGAGGGGCATGGGAACCTCCCAGGTGTTAGGCGGTGTTGGGGACCGATGGAGAATGCCATCCCCTGGCTCGTTCCGCAGGGCGCATGAGATGAGAATGAGCATGGCTAATGTAGAGAACTGCAATCTCCTTGCTGCTGTTAAACTTTAATTTCTGCATTTAAAACAAAGCAGAGCTATATCAAAAATAACCAAGCCTTTTCCACTAGGATAGCATGATTTTAGAGCAGGTCATTGTGAACTGGGAATGTTTGGTGGTTTTGTAGTTAATTAAAGGATTTGTAGTCAAGTCATCCCGTACGGACAGGTGTGTGCCAAGCCATTTCTGAGTCTTTCTTGGTGATTTTCATTACAAAGTCAGGAACCAGGTTCTCTCCCTCTCGCCTCCAAGATACTATTATTTCTTATAGTTCTCGTTGGTGCTTCCTTGCAGCAAAGGAGGCAAGTGTTTTAAAGATGGTGTTGGCTTCTTTGGCAGCTCAGCTTTGCTCTTTCCTTCGTGGCTTAGTCTGGTCTTGGCAGGTTTGTACAGGCCCAGCTTGATGAAGGCTGAGCAGAATGAAAGCCCCATCCAGGCCGTGGCATTTTTGCCACGTATTTAGATCCCTTTCTTGATGCGATTCCTTCTTGAGCAGCCACAAAAGGATTTCTGATCACTGTTGGCTGGCTCGCGGGCTTTGGGTTTGCTTGGGTTTTTCAGGGGCAGTGGATTTTAGCGCTGCCAGCATCATCTTTCCATGGCTTCTGTCTTGAGCCTGAGATGTTTTCTCTCCTGCACGTAGCTGCGTGAGGGGTTTGTAGGAGGCAGTAGGGGCTGGAGGTTGGCTGAACGCAGCAGCCTTTCCTTCCCTTCCAGTGGAGGGCAGTGGTGACAGTGATGGTAAACACAGCTGGAGCTGCACCTGACAGGCTGGTCATGGCAGTCACCCTTGAGCTAGTTGTCTTGATTACTGAGTGGAGGATGCCATCTGCGTGGAGATGAAGGTCTCGATGACATTGTGGGTGGATGGCAGCAGCTGGCTGTGGCTGTTGGCGGAGTCAGAGCTTTGGTACAGCACGAGGCTGCTGGAAGATGCTGTCAAAGACACGGGCAGAAGTTAAGTACAGATTCTCACTGCACTCCCCTTACATGTGCACATTTCCAGCATGGCTGAACTCTCCTGGCATAAGGGCATACGTGACTCCTTTTTCTGTTTTGTGTGCCATTATATACCTAGCGTAAGGCTACAGCTAACCTGAAAGTATTGAGGGTGACAGTTTTCAGAGAGTTTGGCTTTGAGGATTCTAGTTTGATTAATATCCTAATTCTTCTCTTAAAACTAGGAAGATTCCATTGGAATCTTTTTGTGAGGGGGTCTCGGGCTTTTCAGCCCTGAAGAATGCCCGCAGGACTGGGTACACATGGACACTGATTTTGTCAATATTTTTGAGATTATTTTCCTCTCTAAATTCTGAAGATGAGTTCCATTTCCACAGTCTGGCCTTATAGAGACTGTGCTCTATATTGGTATTTTCTATATAGTATTTTCCATGTACCAGCTTTTAAAACCTCCACAGGACACTGGTAGAGCCTTCTTAGAGAATCATGAGCCCCAGTTACAATTTTCTAACTGAATTTTAACAGTGTTGGCAAGAGAAACTAGGCAATACATGGTTTAAGATAATAGTGGCTGCTGCTCTTACCAGCAGGGCTTGAAGCGAGGCGAGGGCCTGGCTGAAGGTGCTGGATGGTTGTGTCTTGGCTCTGTAAATGTATCGTTGGTGCCTGTGACACTGGCGTATGCATCCCAGACTCCGTGTGGGTCTCTGAGTCAGATGTGAACGCCTAGAGGAAAGAAAGTTAACGGAGCCTGGTTTCTGTGTCCCTTCGAACAGGCACAAGAGAGCAGGTGCCGTTTGCAAGGAGATTAAATCCTCCTTGATGCAGTGAAGAGCTCGCTCTGATGCCTCCGATATTGCAGCTGGTACCAGCAAGGTGAGGAGGTCAGAAAAGTCATGCTGCTGGGATGGCATAGACCACACACTCCAAAACTCTTGGCAAGCAAGGAGCTACCTGCAGACTGGTGCAGTTCTAAGGTGGGGGAACAAAGGCATGTGCTAAAGGCTGTTACCTGTTTAGTTGGTGTCAGGTTAGTCAGGGCGCTGAGATTGGCTGTATCTGTTATCACCATGGTTTGTGGCAAGAGGCCTGTATGTGTGTATTGGGCCACTTCAGACTTGGGGCCGTAGAGAGCTGTGCATGAAAGAAAACAAGATCACGTGGGTGCTGGAGCTTTGCCTGAGACTAGTTTGGCTGAGGTTCTCATGCATGTGGACCTGCTGCCTGTCTTCAAAAGGATGGCCATGGAGGGACGGGGAGATGAATGCAATAGAAAAATAGCTTCATAATTAGAGCAACAGTAATAGAGTGCTGCGAGCCCAAGGACCCAGCAAATGCTCCAGAACAGTCTTGTTGTTGTTGTTGTTTGCTTGAGCAGATAAGTTCATGTTCTTACCATGTGGGTTCTGTATCTGGGCCATGGTAGCCATGAAGGGGCTCTGGTTGATGTGGCTCTGGACTTGCTGCATGAGGGGCTGCTGGTAGGATGGGTGCAGTTGCTGTGAGAACTGGACAGGCTGCAGGGTGGTGAGGCTGCTCCCCATGCTGTTTATTACAGGTACGCTCTGGGGCTGGGTAGAGGCCAGGCCTGAAAAACAAGGACTGATGACAGTAAAGTCACATGCTGTGGGAGGAGTGTGGCGGCTCTGCTGTAGTCATCGTGGCAGGCGTGTCCTTGCAGGGCTTTTGGATCCTGCTTTTCAGGTGTTGTGTTTGTTATCTGTGATTAAGCATAGATTTCATGCCTGTATAAGGGGGAGCGTGCAAAATGTACAGTGCAGACGGTACCATAAAACCACCTCAGGTTTCCAGTGTTTGTTCCCGTGTACGTCCGTACGTACTAGTACAGATCACTTTCCAGTTTAGTGATAACCCGATACACAGTTCCAGTATGGGAGGACCTTGCTCAGAAGTAAACTCAGATT